GTTTGTAATTTATAAAATCTCAACTTGCCTCTCTGGAAAAATTCATCAGCATCTGAGACAAAAACAGAGGGTCTCGTGTAAGTAGGTGTATGCCTCATGTATGCAGGTGAGGGTACCGTGTTACTTGGCTTACACGGCACAGATGAATCTACATAAATCATGTATCTGTGTGTTCCTCCTTGTTCACACGATCATGTGTGCATGCTATGCACGTGTGTGCTCGTTTCTACGTGTGTGCAGTGTGCGTGATTATTCCTGGTGTCCACGTGGGAGGAGAAGTGAGCTTGTGTGTAGGCTTAGGTGTTGCCGTGGTTTGAATGTTTGACTCCTCCCAAACTCATGTTGAAACTTAATTGCCATATAACAGTGTTGAGAGGTGGGACCTTTGACAGGTGTTTAGGTCACGAGGGCTCTGCCTCATGAATGGACTAATGCTGTTATTGTGGGAGTGGGTCCACCCCTCTTGCTCGCCCTCTCTCGCCCTGGCATTGCCCTTTCTCCACGTGACACCTTCCACCGTGTTACAACACAGCAAGAAGGCCCTCACCAGGTGCCAGCCCCATGATCTTTGACTCCCCACCCCTCAGAACTGTGAGGAAATAGGTTTCTGTTCTTTAGAAATTACCTCGTCTCAGGCATTCTGTCATAGCAGCAGAAAACGGACTAAGACAGGCAGAGAGCAGCTGCTCCGGGCACATACCTGTCTTTGAACCCCCGGATGACCTTCTGGAGGAGGATGACTCTGTCAGTGATGGCCTTGTCCCGCTCCACCTCCAGCAGCATGTCATGGTGGTCCTAGGAGGCACAGCTCCTGAGCAGCATCCCACTGATGTCTCCTCCGGGGCACCAGCTCAGTCCCAGGCTGGGTATCTCTTCCTTCACAGGCTCCCAGGCCCAGTTAGGCCCCCTGGGGTGGCCTCCCACAGCCACCAGCACAGACAGGGGTTGTGGTGTTTCCCAAAGGAGAGCCACAAATGCAGCAGGAGGAACCTAATTTCACCGGATGGGGTCCATGGCCCCAACATGCACACACACTGGCTTCATCCCCATCACCGTCTCTGCCCCAGCCCCTGCTCTTCTAGATGTGCCCATCACATGGGCCCCTGACCTGGGCCAGGCCACTGTCATCTCTCCTGAATCTTAGCAGCAGTCTCCTAAGAAGAGGATTCCTGGCCTCCGTCAGTCTCCCTCTGGCCCGCTTTCACAAGCAGCCAGAGGGACCTTCCTACACACAAATCTGAAGGTGACCTTGCAGTGACACCCCACAGTTCCCAAGTCAAGCCTGGGCTCCTCACCCTGGCACTCAAGGCCCTCCTTGATCCAGACCTTTCCAGATTCTCCAGCCCTCTCTTCCCCTCACCCCTAAAGCCCCAATCCCTGCTCTGGTTGGACAAAAGCTCACTGCTTCATTCAATACACGTGAATAGAATGACTCGATGTGCCGGCACTTTGCTAAGAGCCGGGGGTGCCACAGTGAACTAGGTAGACATGGCCTGCCCTGGGGAATGTTAGAGTCTCACAGGGGAGCCACGTCCATCACATAACCATAGACACACATCACTCGCAGGCAGGGCCCTGCACAGAGGAGCTGCTCAGCCAAGGCTTTCTGAATGAATGAACGAATGAGCGTTGGATGTTCTGCTCTCAAAACTATGGCCGTTCCTGAAGAGCCCAGAGAGATGAGGACGGAGCAATGACGCGCCTCCGAGCTCTACGGCGCTAGGTGCCGTTGCACTTCCTGCCCTCCCTCCCTCGCCCATGCAGGGGCTGGCGTCAGACCGCCTCAGGCTTCCCAGCTGCCTGGCCTCGCAACTCGCTTCTCCTCTCTGAGCCTGTGAAATGGCCATAATAGCTCCTACCTCACAGGTCTGTCAGGAGAATTAAACAAGACCATGGACAAAAAGCCCCCACCCAGAGCCTGGCACACACAGCACACGTGCTTTCTAGCTGCCGGCTGTGGCGTGCACAGGCAGGAAACAGTCGACACATTTTTCCAATGAGAAAACCAGGGTCAGGGAGATGAAGGGACTGGCCCGAAGCCCTGAGGCCAGAGAGGGATTAGACTAGACCCCAGACTCCCTCTAGTCCCGGGCTGGTTCCTCCCTTCCTTCTGCCACCTGTCCTGGAATGTCCAGGCCCCATCCCCCATGCCAGAGGAAGGGCCCTGCCCTGTTACCAGGACAGCCAGAATGTAGTACAGCAGAAATGGAAATGGGGAAGCCGAGAGCTGGGAGCTCACACTGTCCCTGCCGCAACTGCCCTGCCACCACTGACTCCCCACAAGCTCTCCCAGGGCTGTGACTCCCCATGGCCCAGCTTTCTGCTTCCCTCCACAATGGCCCAGGTGGCTGTGGGAGCCGAGAGCTCCAGCTGCTGTGCTCAGGGTGGCCGAAACAGGCCTGGGCACTACAGAGCGATTTATGGCGGCACAATGCTCACCACAGCCCGGGACGAACCCTGCCTGGCAGGAAACCACAGGAAGGACCTAAAGATACACTCTGAACCCCCACCCCACAAGGCCCAACTCTTTTCACAGATGGGAAAATGAGGCTCAGAAACAGCCAGTGACTTGCCTACAGCCCCTGGGCAGACAACAACAGGGCCCGAATTTGAATCCAGGCCTCCCTTGCTGCAGACCTGACAGACAGCCCATCTCCAGCCTTGGGTGCTCTGATCCTGCTCCAGGTCTTAGGGGTCTCAAATACCATCCTCCCTTCCCTAGCGAGGAGGCCTTACCCCACCCACTGCAGGGCAGGAAGGGTCTGAAAGGACAAGCACTGCTGCAAGTTCCTCTGTAGCCACTTCCTAGGACCCAACCACACCGCGATGAGTGTCCACAGTCCCCCAAGGCAGCCCAGGGACAAAAGCCGTGCTCACCTTCAGAAAGATCTTAGTTTTGCCAATCTGCCAGTCATCGTGGGTGCCCAGCACAGCCTCAGCCATACGCTGGCATGTCCCCCGAAGATTGTCCTGGGGTGGGGAGAATACAAGCTGGGGAGCCTTGCCAGTGGGAAGGCGCCCTGAGTGTCCTTCCTGAGGCCGGGAGGCAGGGCTCTTGCTGCAGTTCTGCCCCTGACTGAATACGTGGGCCCTGCCTTCTCTGATCCTCATTTTTCTCCTTAGGTCATCAGTTTGTAAAACCCTCTGCCACATCTGACATCTAAGCCCCACGTGGCAGCCCTGGTCTTGTTCATTACACCACCATGTGTGAAGTTCACCCCAGCAGAGTGTGGCAATCAAAGCCCTCTGATGCATTCCACTGCCTGACCCACAATTTTCCCAGCCATACCTGAGGGGCCACACGGATGCCATGCCTGGCCCATTGTCCCGATGAGAAAACTATGGCTCTTGCCCGACCAGAGCTGGGGCCCTCCCCTCCTGCCATCTGTGCACCCAGCCCTGTACCTGCTTGTAGGCCGGCTTCACGCCCGGCAGCAGTACGCGGTACCGCTCCACAAACTCTACGAAGCTGTAGCGGATCGGGTAGCCGGCTCGGCGGATTCGGATGGTCTCCATCATCCCCGAGTACCGCAGCTGGCGCACGCACAGGTGCCGGTCGAATAGCTGCCAGGTACGGAGCCAAGGGCATTAGGGCTGAGGCTTTTGCTGGGAGGCTAGCCCTGCTCTTCTTTGACCAGCCCCAAAGGCCCGGAGAGGCCAAGGCCACACAGCACATGAGGAGCAAAGCCAGAACAGGAACCTGGATCTGCAGTTCAAACCCACACAGCAGCATGAAGTAAGGACCCTCAGAGTGGGGGAGCTGTGTGCTTTGGGAGCACAGAGGAGACATGGGGTTTCACGGAGGGAGTGGTTTTGCCAAGGTTGGAGGGGGGCGAGTATGTGCAAAGAGGTGAAAGCATGAAGGCACAGGACTTGTTGGGGGACTTTAGGGGACGGCAGAGGCTAGTTCAGACCATAGTTACAGCAGTGCAGGTGGTGGGTGCTTCCTACAATCCCAGGGAGCGCTCTTCACATTGCAGCCATTGAAGAATTAGTAATTCAGACAACTTTCTGGCTGCAGGTGATAGAGTGCCTTAAGGAAGAGGCACAATTTTCTAACTTAGACTTAAACAAAGTTGGCTTTTGTGATGGCCGCAGAGCAGGGCCAGCCCGCAGGTTCATGGAGCGGCTGGGGGAAGAAAGCAGAAGGCAGATGCCTGGCTGCGGGAGGCCTCGGAAGCCAGACTAGGGAGGCTGGCCTCATCCCATAGGTGACGGAGAGACCAGGCCAGGTTTGCATTGGAGAACATGTCACTGCAGTTGGGGGGTGAGGGGTGCCAAGACAGGAGGCAGGGGAGGCAGGAGACTAGTGAGGAGGTTGCTTCTTAGGTCCAGGCCACAGGTGCCAAGGTCTGGGCTGAGAGAAGGGTCCCAGAGATGGTAGCCAACTACCCTGGCTTCGGTCCCCCTGGAGCCCCACATTACAGGGAGAGCCCCCCAGAGCCCTCTGTGACCCTCAGGCCTCTAAAGGGGACAGGCCTTGCCCACTCTGGGGAATGTTTTCCTGGCAGGGACAGCAGGCGGGGACAGCATGTGCGGATGGTCAGCTTCCGCAGCCTGCTTCCTCTCCTCTGGCCACTTTCCCTGGCCTTCCTTCCCTCCCTGGACCCCCACTGGCCCCAGCTTCCCCAGCCTCACCCCGTCCTCTGGGTAAACAACACCTCCCAGATCCTGTGCTGGGGAAGCAGAGGGCTCGTGGTGAGGCGCAACCAGGCTCAAGCCCCTCAGCCTCCCCGAGCCCCGGTCCTACATCTCTGACTGGAGCCTCGGGGTCCCTCCTTCACAGGCTGTTTGTGGAGGTGAATGAGGCTGTGGACAGACAAGCTAGCCTGTCCTGTGCCCACAGAAAGGGCCCAACAAATGTCATTCAGAAGACTTAAAAGGAAGGACATCCCCAACCAGTCAGAGGAATCAGGGGAGGCCTCTGGGAAGAGGTGGTGGTTGAACTGGGCTGAAGGAGAGGGGTCTTTGAAAGGAGGGCCGCAGCAAGAACCACGGCTGCCACTTGCTGATTGCTTTCTAGATGCCAGGCAGTTTGCATGCATAATTACATGGACTGTCCCCAGGAGGTGGGTATGGTCATCGTGAGAGGAGTAAGTGACTTGTCTACAGTCGCCCAGCTCATAAGTGGTAGAGTCAGGATTTGAACTTGCGTCGGGCCCACCACAGAGTCTAGGCTCTTCCCAGTGTATCTGCTGCGTCCAGCAAATCAGGGACCTTGTTTCATACACCTCTCAGGTGCCCTGCCATTCTCCAAAGAGGACAAAGTCTCACATCATCCATCCTACCTTGTCCCAGCCTTGGCCCAGCCCTGACCTAGCCCCAACTCAGCCCCTCTATGGCACCCCCACCCCGGCCCCACCCACCCCTCCTGGCCAGAGTCGCTCACCATGGGCTTCTTGAACTCATTGGGCTTGATGCAGCGCACGAAGAAGGGCTGGCAGGCACCCAGCGTGCGCATCAGCAGCTCCAGCGACCGCTTGAACTGGCTGCTGAGTGTGGGCGAGCGCTTCCTGGTCTCGGCGCCCTGCAGGGACGGGCGGGTGTGGGATGGGAGGGCTGCGCCTGCCCCCTCCGGCCCTCCCAGCGCTGCCCGCCCCGGAGGGAAGCGGGAGGGGAGGTCAGCGGGGTCAGGGCCTGAGGACAGACGCATGCACTGGGTTTCCTGAGACCTCCCTGGTCTGGGCTGGAGCTTGGACCCCAGACACCTCCTCTGGGGAGCTTCCCAAGACCTCCAGAGGTATCACCTCCAGGTCAGGAGGAAATGAGCCCGGCAGGACTGGTGTGCTGTGTGACTGGGCAGGGCACAGCCCCTCTCTGAGTCTTGGTCCTGTCCTCCCCGTATAAATGGGTGGTCAGATGTAGTCATTTCAGGATACTGGGGTCACCTCTAGAGAAAGCAGCTAGACAAACCTAAATTCAAACCCTGGCCCACCACTTCCTAGTTGTGTGAACTTGGGCAGGTCACTAAAAGGTGCTGAGCCTCCTAAATGGGAATAATGGCATCTATCCACCTGACAGGGTCGTGGTGAGTGTCAGAGGTCAGGGTATGTTTCAGTAAACAACAAACTGGGAAACCATGGGGCAGAGGGAGGGAAGGGGAGGGGGGCTGCCTGTGACGTCTCCCCTCCTGTGGGATTAGCTGGGCAGCAGCATGCTGGGGGTGGGGCAGGGCAGACCTGGATAATCCTCCCAGGAAGGCACACAAGGAGCTGGCCTCCCCCAGCACCGTGTGGCACCAAGGCCCCCCAGGGGTTCTATGCTCCACCAGCCTACCCGGTGAGCTGGTCAGCAACCCCTCTGCACCTGCCTGTCCTGTTAGGGTCCCCACTCAGAATATTGTGAAATGAGGTGCGGAGTGCTGGGGGAAGACCTGAGCAGCAAACAGACAGGAAGCGAAATGTCTCCGACCAATGGAAAAGACACAGAAGCCCGGCTTACTCCGTTTGGATGTTATTGTTC